GGATACGGCTATGTTTTGCCCTACATAGAGAAGCAACGAAATAGCCCTAAATACAGAAGAGAGGAAAGAGGAGAGAGCAAGAACCTGATCGCCGACTTCTCTCTAGTCGCAGGCTTCGATCTCACCCCAATCGATCCTTCACTCTTGATCTCGTCTCCTGTTCTTTCGTCTCTCGATCTCCTCTTCTCTCGATCTCTCCTCTTCTCTCGTCTCTCGATCTCATCTTCTCTCGATCTCTCCTCTTCTCTCGTCTCTCGATCTCATCTTCTCTCGATCTCTCCTCTTCTCTCGTCTCTCGATCTCATCTTCTCTCGATCTCTCCTCTTCTCTCGTCTCTCGATCTCATCTTCTCTCGATCTCTCCTCTTCTCTCGTCTCTCGATCTCATCTTCTCTCGATCTCTCCTCTTCTCTCGTCTCTCGATCTCATCTTCTCTCGATCTCTCCTCTTCTCTCGTCTCTCGATCTCATCTTCTCTCGATCTCTCCTCTTCTCTCGTCTCTCGATCTCATCTTCTCTCGATCTCTCCTCTTCTCTCGTCTCTCGATCTCATCTTCTCTCGATCTCTCCTCTTCTCTCGTCTCTCGATCTCATCTTCTCTCGATCTCTCCTCTTCTCTCGTCTCTCGATCTCATCTTCTCTCGATCTCTCCTCTTCTCTCGTCTCTCGATCTCATCTTCTCTCGATCCCTTCTCTCTCCAGTTGCGATCTTGATCTCGTGTTCTTCTCTCTCTCGATCTCTCCTGTTCTTTCGTCTCTCGATCTCCTCTTCTCTCTCTCCCTCTCTGTCGATCTTCCTTCTCTCCCGTATTGTTCTCAATCTCTCTCTCGATCTACTCCCGATTCATATCTCTGTCTATCTATTCGTATATCTATCTATTATTATAATAACTATAATAATATATAATAATAATAATAATAATAGTTAATAACTATTAATAGTTAATAATTATAATAATAACTATTATTATTATATATTATATATTATATAATAATTATTATATAACATATAATATATTTATAAGATAATATATACTTATATATATTAATAAAAAATAAATAAATGCATGTATGTAAAATGAAATAAAAAAATTTAATTAGAACACATTGTTTAAAAAATATAATAAATAAATTAAATAATTAATGTATATTAAAATAAAAATATTATAAAAAAATATATATATAATATAACTCATCTTCATAGATTTTTATTTGTTATTTATATAATATAGCTCATTTCATATAATAAATATATATATATTTTTTAAATTATTTAACGTATCCCGTACCCGTATTCAAATTTGGATACATATCCACGTATCTTTAATTTTTAATTTTAAAGTGTCCGACCCCTAGATACGCACCCGCACCCGATACCCGTACCCGAGTCCGTGTAACATTTATTCCCTGTACAAGGCTTCCATGAAACTAATAATAATCTTCTGAATGGTGCTTTTCCCACTGAGATAATTTTGAATTGAGAGAATATATTGTCAAGGATTTTTGTTTTAAGATTATGGTATTCAAGTCTAATACAGTGAAACTTATACCTCAAACTTATTCTTCTTAAATAACCTCACGACTGCCACGTGTGTAATGGGTGAGGGTCCAACCAGTTGTATAAAAAATAAAAAATAATATTTCTTAAAATGCAGATTATTTTTTAAAAAAATTATTTGAAAAAACCACAAATGAACAGACCCAATTGCCATTTATAAATGAATTTGAATTCTCTCCAGAATTCTGTAAATTTCACCTTTGAAATTGGTTTTTTTCTTCTTTGATGTGTTGTTGTCGATTATCTATTTGCACACACCACTTCCTTTCTATACACATCCTTCTTAGTTCACACACCAAAAAAAAAAAAAAAAATGTACTCATTACACATACTATTATTCCAATTATACCCCCATATCTAAAACATACACACACAACTTTCCAACACACTCAACCCACCCACCTTCCCTTATATTTTTCATTCTCCAAACCCTAACCCTAAACTAGCCACCGTCGGCGACACCATGGTCGCAGTCGTCGCTTCCAGTCATCACCCCACCGTTCCCTCCACCCACCATCGCAGCCCACACACCCGTCCAACCCCTCTGTTGACCACCCCTCGTCCCTGCTACTACCACCATCGCAGTGGCGACCCACCATCGCGACACACCCGCCGTTCATTAAACCAGGGTCGAAAATCACACATCGATTCAACCATCAATATCCGAACAAAACACATTGGTTCAACCTTCAACATCTGAACAAAACACATTGGTTCGACACTGTACTCCTGAATCAATGTGTTTGGTTCGAAGGGGGCAGAAAGTAGAGGCGGTGGCGATTCACTTGGCGGCCGCAGAGAAGGGAGAGTTGCAGATGGCAGGGTAGGGGCTTCGACGAGAGAAGAGGGACTGGGGAGTGTGAGCGACGAGCGATGGGGTGCGGAGGGGCTTCGATTCAAGAAGAGGGGGGCTGGTGGGGGAGGCAACGGAGGGGGTGGAGGAGGCAATGGAGGGGGTGAGTAGGGTTAGGGTTTTGGTTGAAGAAGAAAGAGATATTTTGGTAATTTTATTTTAGGACAAAAATGTAATAAAAAAATATCATTAAGTGTGTGGGAAGAGGGGAAATGGTGTGTGCAAATAGAAGCTCCTGATTATTGCCTATGCAAGTGTTGAATTATCTAACGTAAAAAGTCGCACATTTTGAATTAGTAGATTGCGTAACCAATCGACCCTTATTTTATTCTTCTATTTGTAAATGGTAAATTACATTTTGCCCTCTTAAAGTTTCACCCATTTCTCACTTTGGCCCGTTAAGTTTGATTTTCCTCACTTTTGCCCATCATATCTGCAATCCTTCTCACTTTACTCCTATACTAACTTTCATCGAAAAAACTAACACATCAGCTCCACATGTAATGTAAAATATTCACTAAAGATGCAAAAAAATGAAAAATAGAAAGCAAAAAAATTGAATTTTTTTTTAATCTTTAGTGAATTTTTTTTCAAATTTATTCATAAACATTATTACATTATATAAAAATAAATTTAATTAAAAAAATAAAAAAATTCACTAAAGACGAAAAAAAATTCAATAAACAAAAAGTTCACTAAATATTATTACATTATAGTAAACTTTTCATTTCAAAATTGACAATATAAGTGTTTGAATCAGTATATTTTCATTTTTTTTCGTCTTTGGTAAACTTTTTTCTTTTTTCAGTTAAATTTGTTTTTATTTTTTTTGGTGCATCTAATCTAGATGTATCTATAATGTAATAATATTTATGAATAAATTTGAAAAAAAAGTTCATTAAAGGCAAAAAAAAAATTCTAGTTTTTTTGGTTTCTATTTTTTATTTTTTTACATTTTTAGTGAATTTTTTACATCACATATGGAGCTGGTGTGTTAGTAATGTGACAAATTCTGTTAGTTTTTTGGATGAAAGTTAGTTTAGGAGTAAAGTAAGAAGGATTGCAAACATAAAAGGCCAAAGTGGAAAGGAGAGCTGCGCACAATACCACTAAAATCGTCAAAACCGCATCGAACTGTGATTTTTTTATTATTTTTGGTTGGCGGGTTGGGCGTCCAAGTAACCCATCTATTCTAACCGACCCAATCCGTCTATCTTTTTTTATTTTTTTATTTATGATTATTATTTATTTTTATTTTTATATTATTATTTATTATTTATTATTATTTTTTTAATTTTTAGGCCAAGTTTGGGAAGATCCAAAAAAACTAAAAAGCCAAAAAGTTAATCAAAAAGCTAAAAAGCTAACACTATTCACCAAAAGTCAACAATTACGGCTGCACAACTCCCAATTCAAATTTTCCTCTACAAACCAATTTTTACAATTTTTTATTACAGTAAACCACATTTGTCTCACCTCTTGCTCCTCCACCACACCAATTGTCATCACCGTCGCCTCTATTAGCCTTGCCAGTCACCGCCGCATCTTCTCCGCTCGCCGATTTGGTACCTGATTTCTCTTTGCTCTTTTTCTGCTGTCTCTTTCTCTTATTCTCTGTTTTGCGTTTCTCTGCAGTGTTTTTTTATGAAATGGGTCTCTAGATTTGGACCTTTTGCTTCTTGATTTGGTGTTTCTGTGTTTTCTAGAGCTGGAAAGAGAAGATATATATATTCCCTTCTATTGGACACATGTTTTGTGATGGGTTTTCAATCTTGTTCAAATCTGAGTTTTGTAATGGGTTTTTAAGAGATATATTCAAATATGAGTTTTCAATCTTGTAATGCAAATTTCTTCATTTCTTCTTTTGCTGCATTTCTTTTTTTTTTTTTTTCCTTTTCAAATCTAGTTTTTTTTCCCTCTCTATTCTTCTGGAGAAAAGATTGCTTTGCTTATTAACAGATTAACATATATGCATCAATTACTTTTTCATACCTAACAGAAACTAGGATCCCATTCTTTGTTTGTATTTCCTGTTCAACTTTTGAGTAGAATTGTTGGAGACATTATCTAAAAATTTTGTGAAAGAATTATATGGTTGGTGATTTAATGAATCTGTGAATAAAATTTTGTGAAAGAATCTGTGAATAAAATTAGTATTGCTGATAAATTAGTATTGCTGATATATGATATATGATATACACAAAAAAAGGTATCTGAAATTTTATCTGAAAATGAGTTATATGATATACATTTAAAATTAGTGTGATGTGAATCTTATCTAGGATGGCTGTGATTTATAAATATATTTATCTGAATATTTTCTAAGTAATTTTTTTAAAAATTGTAATATTGCTGATAAATATTATAGCCTAAACAGAGTAATTTTGCCTCAAAATTACATGATTAGGCAAGTATATTGCCTCAAAGATTGACATTGATACACACAGACAGACACAAGCATGTTATATGTGAAACTTTAGGGGGGCAAAGTGTAATTTACCCATTTGTAAATGGGAAAGTAACATTTGCTTTACCATGTAATATTCTGTAGGGATTTCTAGGGAAATGAATAAAAACTTGTGTTGGTGCAGGTTGAACATCGGCTGCAATTGTTGTGATCATTGAGCTGCCAATGGTTGTTAGAAGCCACTAGGTCTCCTGTTAGATTAACATTGTTGCTCACTGCAGAGGCTGATAATTCGCTGTTGTGGTATTGTTGTTTTACACTTTATCTGTCTATGAATTATTTTAAGATTATGAGTTTTCTTAATGAAGATCAGAAGGTGTTTGTTGGTGATGTTAGGGTATGGCTAGAATCAGAGATAGAACTGAAGATTTTAAAGATGCTGTGCACCGAACAGCTTTATCTCTGGGTTATAATGAGGTTTGTTAACTCATTGAATCGATTAGTCATTTCAAACTGATCGTCCATTTTAATTGATGTGTCATATGTAGGTTTAATGCAAAAACCGTCTTTATGGTTGCTTGTATTGTATAAATTTATTGTGATCCTTCGGATTTTTTTATTTTTATTAGTATTATTTTAAGCTTGCTATTATATAAATGTTTTCATTGATCAGTTCTAAACGCTCTCCTTTGGATGGCATTACATTGTCTTCACATCTGAATGTTGAAGGTAAATATGACAAGCATGTAAAGGTTGAGGTTTTACCTGTGGTCTATTGAACTCTAGAAAAGTATCTATTTACTTATCTAAAGACACGTATTTGAAAAGAAAAAAAATATTTGTTACAAAAAAGGAAAAAATAGGTACATGGACTCAGATAAGATGACGACCTGAGATATTGGATGTTATAAAATTGTTAAACAAATGTGAGCCTCTCCCTTGTATTTTGTATGGCAGGAATCAGGACACGAGATAGCCAATGTTAAAGTCCAGGATCAGATTGATTCTTGAACTTCTTTAGTTGGGATCAGTCCACTATTTTCTGTAGTCTGTGGTCACCAAGTGGCAAGTAGGGCTAAGTAGGGCTTCTGAAATAATCGATCTGTAAAATCAATGTGTTCAAGAAGTAGCTGTTTTGGGTAGCAGTAAATCTAACATGCTGCACTTGTGTTTAATATACCTATTTTTTTAAATTATATATATATATATATATGAAATTTATATCTCGAATCTAGTACAGAAGCATCTTTAATTTGCTTGTTTTTGAGAGAATTTTTGGGCCCCATCAAACAGTCTTGTCTTTAGTATTGAAAATTGGGGTCAAATTTTAATTGCCCTGTTGCGTTAGTTTTAGAACCAAGAAAGATTATGTGTGCTTTTCTAAGGAGTAGAATGTGCAATTCAATAATAGTATTCAATTATGGTGTTCTACTTGAACATATTTGCAGCACTTATGAAAGCAATCTGAGCTTCTAAATGTGTTACATATTAGTTTTAGATTTGTAGTCAATATATATAAAATTAACTAAGGTATAAATTAACTACGGTGTGGTTATTGTTGACAGTCCAAACTGGCAGCCATATTGGCGTCTTTCATTATGCACAAACCTCGGCAAAGGTCATCTTTTACCAAAGCTGCACTGAAGACGGTATATGCTTTGTGACTATGATACACACATTTATGCTTTTCTGTTGATATTGTTGATACTTCTCATTGTGAGAAAGTTATTTGTTGGAAATGATGTTGCCACTTGCTTCTAAGGAAGCATTTCACTCTTCTTTTCCTTTCAAAAAGTGGAAGCATTTCAAGATATTTATATTCAAATTTACTAAGAGTATTATATTTGCCTTTTTCATTTGTCAGCTTGAAAGCACAGAAACTTTGGACCAGTTCTTGATGAAGCATAAGAAGGATTACATAGACCTGCACCGCACCACTGAACAGGAGAGAGATAGCATTGAGCATGAAGTAAGTTTGGAAAACTACCCTTTGCCAGTCTTTGAGTGATTTAAAAAGCTCTTCCAATGTATTTATTAACAAATGATGTTGTGTCATAACTCGTAATCTATACTGATCATCATGAATCTGATGTTTGTGATATTATGAATCTGATGTTTGGTTTAGTTTTTGAATTTTTTTGTTTTTTTTTCATTTTTTTTTCTTTTTAAATTTTTACATGAATATAATCTAGATGCACCTAAGACTTAAAATATTTGTGAAAAAACCTAAAAAAAGTTCACTATAAAGACCCCAAAATTCTTTTTTCAAAGATTGGAAGTGTTGGTTTTTTTTTTTTTAGTAAATTTTTTTTTTCTTTTGCTTGAATGGAGTGCTTTTAGGTAAAACAAAACAAAACAAAACAAAAATAGCATTTTGGTATAACAAAATACATCATTTGAACTTCCCTTTTTGGTTATAATGATAAAAAGAGATAGCGCCTTAACTTGGATTATAAATTAAATTTCAAAACCATGCATGATGAATGTAGTTTCAAGATGCATTTATGTTGTTTTCATGCCTGTAATTCACCCTTAAACAAAAGCTAGATCTGGGTATTTGCTCCTTTGTTAGTGAATGCTTAAACAATGAATCTACAGCAAGGCATATGTTCTGGGACTTGCTTCATGTAACCCTCTAATCGACTTTGAAGGTGCCCAGTCTGGTTTGAGGTGTAATTGATTCCTTATAAATAGTTTTCACTGCTTATAAAAACTTGTGAAAAGTGTTCATTGAGTATATGGTAAAATGACTAAATATCTATTTATAAGAATGCCTTCAGGTATTGTCTTGATTTTTTCAACTACTGTAATCAATTATATCATTCCCTACTTTTTTTTAGTTCTATGACATCACTAATCTGGTTTCTCTTGATTCAATCTAGATTGACCTCATTGTAGCCTTGAATATATCTTCCTAAAAATAGATTTTTAGTGGTGTTGATGGCAAGATATTCTTTTTGGAAATAAAACAACCTGTTGAAGAAGTATGGCTTAGTGCATATATATGTGCTGTACAAGTTGAATGCCGTCCTTCTGCCATGAATTATATATGGTGTTCTGATTTTAGGTCGCATGTGTGCTTGCCTCACAATTTGATATGTAGAATTGTAGGTTAGTCATGTAAAAATTTGCTGGAGTTTCTATGAGTTCCTACTGTGTGTCAAAGTTTGGGGAAAATGCTTTATCATTTATTGTCTCCATCCCATAATGTTTTTTAGGAATTTCTACTTTTTAAGGGGACATTTAAATAATGCATTCAAATTTAAATGAAGAAGGCGTTGATTTCTAAAATTACCTCTTTATTTCCACTTTTTAATATATTCATAACTATTTAGAAGGTAAACTTTTGGGAAATTATAAAACTTTAGGCTTTGATTTTTCAAAATATTTCGGGACATCCCAAATTGAAAAGATGTATTAACAATTTGGGATAGAGGTAATAATTTTTATTTTTTTTCTCTCTCAAACATATGTGCATGCATGTATTCACAGATTTGGGATTTGGGACTTGGAAGGGTTGTTGGAGTTTCAGAGTAGAACTTTATCTCGCTACCTCATCCACAACTCAAACAAATTAAACATCAATGATTTCACCATTTTGGTTTTGTTTTTCCACAAGATCAAGACCTTTGCTAATACTAAACTGAATCGTACAAGTCTGACTTTTTAGGTCCTGGTTGGTGATTTGCATTCTGTATCTTTCAATAACAAATATGAATTTTACCAATCCTATGTTTTGCAGGTTACAATTTTTGTTAAAGCGTGCAAAGAACAAATAGATATTCTAAAAACTAGTATAAATGATGAAGAATCAAATTCGAAGGGATGGCTTGGCATTAAGGGTGACCATTCTAATGTTGATACCATTGCACACAAACATGGAGTGGTATGAATACTTCTTTTTCTGTGTGTTGATTTATTACTTCTTCATTCAATTTGTTAATGCTGTGGATTCTATTGACACTCGAATTGGTGGTATTGGACTTTAATGCTATGTTTGGTAGGAGAGGAAGACAGGAGAAATATGGGAAAACAAAATCTTCTAAATGAAAAATGAATAAGAGAGTGACAAACATGTACACATTCTTTGAGATATGGGCTTACTTTAGTGACCCATAATGTGGTTGTAGTTTTGCATGGAATTATGGCATGTCTTGCAATTATAAGGATAGATTGAATATCATGAACTTGGCATAGTAAAGACTGAATACTAGCAGGGAGTTATTGTGTCCTATATGTCATATATTGATTCCCCCCCCCCCCCCCCCTCTTTCTTGTTAGCCATCAACTTTGCAAGTTTGTTTTTATAATATTGTAGTTTAGAGGGAGGATGATATCTTAAATTGGCAAGGGCTGGAGATTTTTTGATCTCATGGATGATGATGATGATGATGGGTGAAGGCATTTGTTTGTGGTGGATAGGGGGAGGGGCTATCAGCACTCTCTCTCTCTATCTCTCTCTCTCTCTCTCTCTCTCTCTCTCTCTCACATTGGTTGTTTAGTTCAGTGGTTCTGTGGTAAGCTGAGAGAGGTGGCACAATGGGAGATCTGGGAGGATTTTTGTGAAGCCTAAGAGGGGGGAGTTGTCTTTTGGTATGCATAGTCTGCAATTCAGGGGAGGGAGGGTTGTTCAGGTTCTTGATTCATCGGGTGGGGAGTGTGAGAAGGTGTGCTTTCCAGATTGAGTTTGGGGAATAAAATGCAAGGTCTAGACAATATTGTTGGGCTCCGCCTGACGGACTTAGAGGATGCCTTTTTAGAGCTGATAAAAAAAATCTGCAGTAAAGATTCGGAAATAGGAGCAGGAGAAGTTCAGAAAGAAATGAAAGGAAGTTAGGTTTGGAGCTGGAGTGGTGGTAGGGAGTCGATGCTTGGTTGTTGTCTTGTGCTTGTTCTTAAGGTTTTGTTTTCTTCTTTTTATTTTTCTTCCCTTCCTGTATGCAAGGGTTGCACCCCCTTGGCACTCTCTAATACAATCTGATTTACGTATCAAAAAGGAGAAAAATAAAAAATAGTAAAGTCCATACCGTGACAGATTAAATGCATGTGAATTAGACTTTTTACATTGCATTTGCAGCATCTCAGTTCAGTTTGTTTGTTTAGTGTGAATAATTTCATTTGCCCCTGTCTAATTTCAGGTGTTGATTTTAAGTGAAAGGCTTCATACAGTCACATCACAGTTTGATCAGCTCAGAGCCATACGCTTCCAAGAAGCTATTAACCGTGCAACACCTAGAAGAAAACTGAAGCGGGTTGCTGCATCTGATTCCACAGACAACTCAAAATCTAACACATTAAAGCTCAAGGAACCTGACAACTCAGAGCTCAGGGAGCCTGATGAGGTTCAATATGACACTGTTAAAGTCCAACAGCAACTTTTGGATGATGAAACACGTGCTCTTCAGGTAATCAGCGGATGAGGTTCTAGAAGTGACAAATTATGGTTAATACTAATAGTGTCCTTGTAAAACTAAAGCTGTTTCCCTCTATCTTCGTGCAGGTAGAGTTGACTAATCTTCTAGATGCTGTTCAAGAAACAGAAACAAAGATGGTTGAGATGTCTGCATTGAATCACCTCATGTCGACACATGTCCTGCAACAAGCTCAACAGATAGAATTTTTGTATGAGCAGGTCAGGATACTCCTGTTTGTTCATGTTCTGGTTTATATAATTAGCTTCTATACACACTCCATTAGTGCCTCTCTTCTTCTGGAACAACAGAAGAATCAAAAACAAAAGTATGTTGTCCAAGATTAATTTATTTCCTCGATGCCACTGCATCGTTGGCAAATCGTAACCCATCTTATTATTTTTTTTTAAAAACTATAATTGATAGCTGTGGAATTGATCTAGCATCTAGCATTATAGTACCAAAACCAAACAATAGATCACTAGAAAAGTACACAGTTGAATGCAAAGAATTCCAGACTGGATTTGCTGAAGTCTGGATACTACCCCTTCCTGTATTTGCCAAAAGAATGCAAAGAAGAGACTTTTTCAAAATTAGAAATAATAATAAAATCTCCTTCCCAACCTCCTTTGCCGATGATTTTGCAGTGGATGGCCCCCGTTTAACAAAATATTTGTTAGAAGTGGCGGGACAAAGAAAAGTACTTTAGAGGGGAATCTAAGGGAAATTTTCCTATGTTCCAATATGAGATGCCTGGGTGCACAAATATATTAACTATATGTTTTTTGGTTCTTATAGAATTAAATTTGTTTTTTGGATAAAAACCCTAATGATATTCCTTTAATCATAGCACATTTTATTTCTATGCTTATTATCTTCAAGGCCTTTTTGATGAGCATCAAGTATTTCATAAGGATAAATCTCTTTTGAGTTTATAAATTTACACTAAGTGGTTAACAACAGTATTTGGCACTTGAATCTAAACACAAATTTGGTAACATTTACTTTGTTTAAAGAAAACATTAAACATGTTTATGTGTATTTTGATAAGACCACTGCTGATGCTAATGCTCAGAACAATCTTCACCCGCAGCGAAACCAACAGATCATGGATTCACCTGCTAAAGCATACAGTTGTAACAGTCAAGTCAGTTAGGCAATTGGGCTAACTATCGTAGTTATAAAGTTGTTAGAACTCTAGTTCAAATGTAACTGAAGTTTGTTCAAGAGTACTTCTCTTATAAATACTGTGTAAGATCTATTGGATATTATGTTGATTGAATACAAAAGATATTTCTTTACGTATCAGAGCAAACAGCTCCAACGAGTACTGATCCTCTGAACCTGTTCGTTAAAGATCTTTGAAGATCATTCGAAGATTTGAAGTTCATTCGAAGATTTGAAGCTCTTCTCATGGCAGACTCACTGTTATCTCCATAAATTCCTTCTAATCTTTCGTTACTCATCTCAAATCTCAATTCCTTTGTGAATGTGAAGTTAGATTCTACAAATTACATAGTCTGGAAAAATCAATTGCAACACATACTGCGCACAACAAATCTGATTGGTTTTGTTGATGGTTCACAAGAGTTGTCCTTCATCTGCGATCTTTGATTCAAACAGCGGAGAGGTCTCTAATCCTGCATATGCACAAGGGCTGTGTATTGATGCACATCTTCTTAGCTGTATTACGGCTACTTTATCTCCAGCCATCTTCACTTCTGTTTTTCATTATAAAACAAGTTGTGAGGTATGGACTGCTCTTCAATCTCGTTTTACTTCTCTCTCTTGTTCTCATATTCATCAACTCAAGAACAAGATGAGTCGCCTCACTAAGAAAGGATTAAGCATGGATGCCTACCTCACTGAGTTTAAAACCATAGCTGATCAACTTGCTCTAGCTTGTGCACCTGTTGATGATGAAGATATAGTTTTATTCATCTTAAATGGCCTTCCAGACGAATATAATGCTTTTAAAACCACCATTTGTGCTCGATCTGATTCTATTTCTCTTGAAAATCTGTGTTCCTTACTTTGCTCTGAGGAAATTCATATTGAGAGTGCCCATAAACATTCTCATGCTTCTGAAATTCATTATGCCTATGCTGCAACTACAAAATCCTTTTCTCATAGAGGTGGATCTAATGGAAGTAGCGGTTTTCGAGGAAATTCCTCACTCAAAGGAGGAAGATATTTCAGAGGTTCTTGCAGAGGAGGCAGACAAAATTTTCACACTACTTCACCTCAATCCCCTTCATTTCATTCTCAAACTGGTTCTGGTTCTGGTTCTGGGCTTGTGTGTCAAATCTGTGGTAAACAGAATCATACTGCCTTGGATTGTTGGTATAGAATGGATCCAGGTTTTCAAGCCTCTGCATGATCAACCACACCTAAAGCATATGTAGCTTCTACTCCTCAGTCTCAGAATTGTCCAAATCAGAATTCTCCAATTCCTCCTACTTGGTATGTGGATTCCGCAGCAACCAGTCATGTCACAAATGACTTAAATCAACTCTCTGTTTATCAGCCTTATCAAGGTACTGATCAAGTTACTATTGGCGATGGTTCTACTCTTCCTATTCATCACATTGGTAATGGCTTACTCCCTACTCCATCTTGTCCTCTTCAACTTCATCAAATTCTTCATGTCCCTCACATATCTTCTAACTTGCTCTCTGTTCATAGGTTAGCATCAGATAACAATTGTTCTATTACATTTGATGCTAATGGCTTTCTTGTTCAGGACAAAGCTACCAAGAAAATTCTATATAAAGGCCTTCATTCTCAAGGTCTCTATCATGCTCCATCCATTCCTATGCTCTCCACATCCTCACCTGCTCCTCACTCTTGCTTTAGGAGTACCAATTCCACAAGTGTTGCATCTGCACCTGTTTCAAGTACCACATGTGCACCTGTTTCAAGTACCAGACCAAATTGATATCTCCGGCTTGGTCATCCTTCATCTAAGAAACTTCAGCATATTGTTAATGCTTTTCATTTGTCTTCACACACTTCACCTGGTGTATGTACTCATTGTTGTGTTTCCAAAACACATATACTTCCTTTTAGTTTGTCCAGTTCCACTGCTAATAAACCTCTTGCCCTTATTCATTCAGATGTTTGGGGCCCCTTTTCTGCTTAGGTATCAGGTTACAAGTATTATGTTGTTTTCATTGATGAGTTTAGCAAGTTTACTTGGTTGTTTCCCCTTCATTACAAGAGTGAAGTATTTTCTCCATTTCTTGAATTCGAGGCCTTAGTTGTAACTCATTTTTCTGCAACTCTTAAGATCTTTCGGAGTGATAAAGGCAGTGAATACTTTATCAAATGAATTTCAAAATTTTCTTAAAGAACAAGGCATTTTGCATCATCTTACATGTCCTCACACTGCATCTCAAAATGGGGTAGCTGAATGTAAGCACAAGCATCTCATTGAGACAACTATTGCCTTAATGCATCATGCATATTTGCCTTTACATCTCTGGTTTGAGGCCCTAGCTACAGCAGTGGTGCTTATTAACACCAACTGCTAAACTTCAATTTCGCACTCCTTTTGAGGTTTTGTTCCATACTCCTCCAGATTATTCTTTCTTACGAACATTTGGTTGCCTATGTTATCCTTGGTTACGACCTTACACTAAGCACAAGCTTCAACCTCAATCCATTCCCTGTGTTTTTATTGGTTGTCACCCATCAGTGAAGGGTTACAGGTGTCTTGATCCTGTTTCTGGTAAAATCTATCTCTCTCGCCATGTTGTCTTTGATGAACATTGTTTTCCTTTTTCTTCTACTCCTATTTCTTCTTCAGCCCCCTCTGTTGCTCAGTTACATTCCTTTTTCTGGTCTTCTCTTAGTTCATCTGTGTCTCACTCTCCATCTTCCTCTGTCTCTTCTATGCCTGCTACTGCAGCTCCAACTGAGTCCATTTCTGCTCCACTAGTTTCTCCTTCTGCTCCTCCAGGTCCTACTTCTTCTGTGCTTCCTCTTCGTTCTTCTTCTCTTTCTCACTCCATTCCTATTTCTTCTCTTCATATGAATTTACCTCTTCCTCCACCTACAACTGCTCCAGTTAACTCTCATTCCATGTTCACTTGACCACTGCTAATGCTAATGCTCAGACCAATCTTCACCCGCAGCCAAACCAACAGATCATGGCTTCACCTGCTAAAGCATACAGTTGTAACAGTCAAGTCAGTTAGGCAATTAGGCTGACTATAGTAGTTATAAAGTTGTTAGAACTCTAGTTCAAATGTAACTGAAGTTAGTTCAAGAGTACTTATCTTTATAAATACTGTGTAAGATCTATTGGATGTTATATTGATCGAATACAAAAGATATTTCTTTATATTTTTGTTAAAAAAACAAAAAAGCATGTTCAACAAATTCTCAAGTAAGAATACATATTTGATGAGTTGGTGGATGGGGTGCCTGGAGGGTGGGGGGCTGCCGGATTGGGTGATTGGAGGATAGTAGTGGCCAAAGGGGGGGTGGGGGACGGAGGAGAGAATGAAAGTTTGTTTTCAAAACAAGCGAAAACACTTTTTTTTTTTTTTTTTTTAATTTCCTAAATTCTGTAAAATTTGAGGACTTATTTTTTTTCAAAAATGAAAACAAGAAATATGTTTTAGTTTTTAGTTTTAATTTTTAATTTTTTTTTTTTTTGGGAAAATAAAAGGCAAAAACGAGTAAACGTGAAGTTATTAAATATGCTCAAATTGGATACAATGGAACTGTCTTTCCAGCAGTTGTTTGTCAGTCTATTTGAGTTAAATCTTGATGCTTTGGTTTGTATAATCTTCTTACACCTTTAAATTTAACAGGCAGTTGCAGCTACGACGAATGTAGAACTTGGCAACAAAGAGTTAGCTCAAGCCATCCAAAGAAATAGCAGTAGCAGAACTTTCCTCTTGCTTTTTCTGTTTGTACTTACTTTCTCAATCCTCTTTCTCGACTGGTATAACTAAATGGAGTGAAGATCAAAATAAGTTTCAAAACTTTGATTCAATTTCTTATTATTCTACTTTGCTGAAATTGCAGCTTGCTCATAAATTTGTTTATTTTATTTTTATTTTAAAAATTTTAAATTTAACCCGATTGTTATTATAGCTGCTAATGCACTAGTCTTGCAATGCAGAATGTGGAAATTATCTTATAGGTGCTATTTTTTGTAACTCAACGTAGGTACTAGAAAATAAACGTGATTTATATATGTTTTCATATTATTATTTTTACTCTTTATGCTTGTAGAAATTGATATTGTAGTTCATATTCTATTTTTTTTTTTTTTATTAGTATATATGTTCCCTCACTTTATGTTGAATGCCTGCGTCCGGCAGCTACATTAAATTCAAATATTTTACCAATCCCCCTTTCCCCCCCCCTCCTTGTGTTTCTTATGTGTGGCTTTTTATGTGGTGGTGAATTTAACTATTTTTTAAATATAATGGACCCTATATATATGACAATTATTATATATAAATATTTTTGTTAATGTGTCCTTAGGCCCTGTTTCTTTCAGCAAGGGAATTATTAGTACGTTGGGATTGAGTGGGTACTAGTGTGGTGGTATTATATTGGTGATGTAAGATAAATTGTGTTTGTTTGTATACTTATATAGTAATGTTAGTTGATTGTTATTAAATCTATTAAATTATGTCTTATAGAAGCGGGTTGCTGCATCTGATTCCACAGACAACTCAAAATCTAACACATTAAAGCTCAAGGAACCTGACAACTCAGAGCTCAGGGAGCCTGATGAGGTTCAATATGACACTGTTAAAGTCCAACAGCAACTTTTGGATGATGAAACACGTGCTCTTCAGGTAATCAGCGGATGAGGTTCTAGAAGTGACAAATTATGGTTAATACTAATAGTGTCCTTGTAAAACTAAAGCGGTTTCCCTCTATCTTCGTGCAGGTAGAGTTGACTAATCTTCTAGATGCTGTTCAAGAAACAGAAACAAAGATGGTTGAGATGTCTGCATTGAATCACCTCATGTCGACACATGTCCTGCAACAAGCTCAACAGATAGAATTTTTGTATGAGCAGGTCAGGATGCTCCTGTTTGTTCATGTTCTGGTTTATATAATTAGCTTCTATACACACTCCATTAGTGCCTCTCTTCCTCTGGAACAACAGAAGAATCAAAAACAAAAGTATGCTCTCCAAGATTAATTTATTTCCTTGATGCCACTGCATCGTTGGCAAATCGTAACCCATCTTATTATTTTTTTAAAAAAACTATAATTGATAGCTGTGGAATTGATCTAGCATCTAGCATTATAGTACCAAAACCAAACAATAGATCACTAGAAAAGTACACAGTTGCAAAGAATTCCAGACTGGATTTGCTGAAGTCTGGATACTACCCCTTCCTGTATTTGCCAAAAGAATGCAAAGAAGAGACTTTTTCAAATTAGAAATAATAATAAAATTTGGTAACATTTAGAGGGGAATCTAAGGGAAATTTTCCTATGTTCCAATATGAGATGCCTGGGTGCACAAATATATTAACTATATGTTTTTTGGTTCTTATAGAATTAAATTTGTTTTTTGGATAAAAACCCTAATGATATTCCTTTAATCATAGCACATTTTATTTCTATGCTTATTATCTTCAAGGCCTTTTTGATGAGTATCAAGTATTTCATAAGGATAAATCTCTTTTGAGTTTATAAATTTACATTAAGTGGTTAACAACAGTATTTGGCACTTGAATCTAAACACAAATTTGGTAACATTTACTTTGTTTAAAGAAAACATTAAACATGTTTATGTGTATTTTGATAAGACCACTGCTAATGCTAATGCTCAGAACAATCTTCACCCGCAGCCAAACCAACAGATCATGGATTCACCTGCTAAAGCATACAGTTGTAACAGTCAAGTCAGTTAGGCAATTGGGCTAACTATAGTAGTTATAAAGTTGTTAGAACTCTAGTTCAAATGTAACTGAAGTTAGTTCAAGAGTACTTCTCTTATAAATACTGTGTAAGATCTATTGGATATTATATTGATTGAATACAAAAGATATTTCTTTATGGTATCAGAGCAAACAGCTCCAACGAGTACTGATCCTCTGAACCTGTTCGTTAAAGATCTTTGAAAAGATCTTTGAAGATCATTCGAAGATTTGAAGTTCATTCGAAGATTTGAAGCTCTTCTCATGGCAGACTCACTGTTATCTCCATAAATTAATTCTAATCTTTCGTTATTCATCTCAAATCTCAATTCCTTTGTGAATGTGAAGTTAGATTCTACAAATTACATAGTCTGGAAAAATCAATTGCAAAACATACTGCGCGCAACGAATCTGATTGGTTTTGTTGATGGTTCACAGAGTTGTCCTTCATCTGCGATCTTTGATTCAAACAGCGGAGAGGTCTCTAATCCTGCATATGCACAAGGGCTGTGTATTGATGCACATCTTGTTAGCTGTATTACGGCTACTTTATCTCCAGCCATCTTCACTTCTGTTTTTCATTATAAAACAAGTTGTGAGGCATGGACTGCTCTTCAATCTCGTTTTACTTCTCTCTCTTGTTCTCATATTCATCAACTCAAGAACAAGATGAGTCGCCTCACTAAGAAAGGATTAAGCATGGATGCCTACCTCACTGAGTTTAAAACCATAGCTGATCAACTTGCTCTAGCTTGTGCACCTGTTGATGATGAAGATATAGTTTTATTCATCTTAAATGGCCTTCCAGACGAATATAATGCTTTTAAAACCACCATTTGTGCTCGATCTGATTCTATTTCTCCTGAAAATCTGTGTTCCTTACTTCGCTCTGAGGAAATTCATATTGAGAGTGCCCATAAACATTCTCATGCTTCTGAAATTCCTTATGCCTATGCTGCAACTACAAAATCCTTTTCTCATAGAGGTGGATCTAATGGAAGTAGCGGTTTTCGAGGAAATTCCTCACTCAAAGGAGGAAGATATTTCAGAGGTTCTCGCAGAGGAGGCAGACAAAATTTTCACACTACTTCACCTCTATCCACTTCATTTCATTCTCAAACTGGTTCTGGTTCTGGTTCTGGGCTTGTGTGTCAAATCTGTGGTAAACAGAATCATACTGCCTTGGATTGTTGGTATAGAATGGATCCAGGTTTTCAAGCCTCTGCACGATCAACCACACCTAAAGCATATGTAGCTTCTACTTCTCAGTCTCAGAATTGTCCAAATCAGAATTCTCCAATTCCTCCTACTTGGTATGTGGATTCCGCAGCAACCTTTCATGTCACAAATGACTTAAATCAACTCTCTGATTATCAGCCTTATCAAGGTACTGATCAAGTTACTATTGGCGATGGTTCTACTCTTCCTATTCATCACATTGGTAATGGCTTACTCCCTACTCCATCTTGTCCTCTTCAACTTCATCAAATTCTTCATGTCCCTCACATATCTTCTAACTTGCTCTCTGTTCATAGGTTCGCATCAGATAACAATTGTTCTATTACATTTGATGCTAATGGCTTTCTTGTTCAGGACAAAGCTACCAAGAAAATTCTATATAAAGGCCTTCATTCTCAAGATCTCTATCATGCTCCATCCATTCCTATGCTCTCCACATCCTCACCTGCTCCTCACTCTTGCTTTAGGAGTACCAATTCCACAAGTGTTGCATCTGTGCACCTGTTTCAAGTACCACATGTGCACCTGTTTCAAGTACCAGACCAAATTGGCATCTCCGGCTTGGTCATCCTTCATCTAAGAAACTTCAGCATATTGTTAATACTTTTCATTTGTCTTCACACACTTCACCTGGTGTAGTTACTGATTGTTGTGTTTCCAAAACACATATACTTCCTTTTAGTTTGTCCAGTTCCACTGCTAATAAACCTCTTGCCCTTATTCATTCAGATGTTTGGGGCCCCTTTTCTGCTTAGGTATCAGGTTACAAGTGTTATGTTGTTTTCATTGATGATTTTAGCAAGTTTACTTGGTTGTTTCCCTTTCATTACAAGAGTGAAGTATTTTCTCCATTTCTTGAATTCGAGGCCTTAGTTGAAACTCATTTTTCTGCAACTCTTAAGATCTTTCGGAGTGATAATGGCAGTGAATACTTTATCAAATGAATTTCAAAATTTTCTTAAAGAACAAGGCATTTTGCATCATCTTACATGTCCTCACACTCCATCTCAAAATGGGGTAGCTGAATGTAAGCACAAGCATCTCATTGAGACAACTATTGCCTTAATGCATCATGCATCTTTGCCTTTACATCTCTGGTTTGAGGCCCTAGCTACAGCAGTGGTGCTTATTAACACCAACTGCTAGACTTCAATTTCGCACTCCTTCTGAGGTTTTGTTCCATACTCCTCCAGATTATTCTTTCTTACGAACATTTGGTTGCCTATGTTATCCTTGGTTACGACCTTACACTAAGCACAAGCTTCAACCTCAATCCATTCCCTGTGTTTTTATTGGTTATCACCCATCAGTGAAGGGTTACAGGTGTCTTGATCCTGTTTCTGGTAAAATCTATCTCTCTTGCCATGTTGTCTTTGATGAACATTGTTTTCCTTTTTCTTCTACTCCTATTTCTTCTTCAGCCCCCTCTGTTGCTCAGTTACATTCCTTTTTCTGGTCTTCTCTTAGTTCATCTGTGTCTCACTCTCCATCTTCCTCTGTCTCTTCTATGCCTGCTAGTGCAGCTCCAACTGAGTCCATTTCTGCTCCACTAGTTTCTCCTTCTGCTCCTCCAGGTCCTACTTCTTCTGTGCTTCCTCTTCGTTCTTCTTCTCTTTCTCACTCCATTCCTATTTCTTCTCTTCATAGTAATTTACCTCTTCCTCCACCTACAAATGCTCCAGTTAACTCTCATTCCATGTTCACTTGACCACTGCTAATGCTAATGCTCAGACCAATCTTCACCCGCAGCCAAACCAACAGATCATGGCTTCACCTGCTAAAGCATACAGTTGTAACAGTCAAGTCAGTTAGGCAATTAGGCTGACTATAGTAGTTATAAAGTTGTTAGAACTCTAGTTCAAATGTAACTGAAGTTAGTTCAAGAGTACTTCTCTTATAAATACTGTGTGAGATCTATTGGATGTTATATTGATTGAATACAAAAGATATTTCTTTATATTTTTGTTAAAAAAACAAAAAAGCATGTTCAATAAATACTCAAGTAAGAATACATATTTGATGAGTTGGTGGATGGGGTGCCTGGAGGGTGGGGGGCTGCCGGATTGGGTGATTGGAGGATAGTAGTGGTGGCCAAACGGCGGGTGGGGGATGGAGGAGAGAATGAAAGTTTGTTTTCAAAACAAGTGACTTTTTTTTTTTTTTAATTTCCTAAATTCTGTAAAATTTGAGGACTTGTTTTTTTTCAAAAATGAAAACAAGAAATATGTTTTAGTTTTTAGTTTTAATTTTTTTTTTTTTTTTTGGGAAAATAAAAGGCAAAAACAAGTAAACGTGAAGTTATTAAATATGCTCAAATTGGATACAATGGAACTGTCTTTACAGCAGTTGTTTGTCAGTCTATTAGAGTTAAATCTTGATGCTTTGGTTTGTATAATCTTCTTACACCTTTAAATTTAACAGGCAGTTGCAGCTACGACGAATGTAGAACTTGGCAACAAAGAGTTATCCCAAGCCATCCAAAGAAATAGCAGTAGCAGAACTTTCCTCTTGCTTTTTCTGTTTGTACTTACTTTCTCAATCCTCTTTCTCGACTGGTATAACTAAATGGAGTGAAGATCAAAATAAGTTTCAAAACGCTGATTCAATTTCTTATTATTCTGCTTTGCTGAAATTGCAGCGTGCTCATAAATTTGTTTATTTTATTTTTATTTTAAAAATTTTAAATTTAACCTGACTGTTATTATAGCTGCTAATGCACTAGTCTTGCAATGCAGAATGTGGAAATTATCTTATAGGTGCTATTTTTTGTAACTCAACGTAGGTACTAGAAAATAAACGTGATTTATATATGTTTTCATATTATTATTTTTACTCTTTATGCTTGTAGAAATTGATATTGTAGTTCATATTCTATTTTTTTTTTTTAATTAGTATATATGTTCCCTCTCTTTATGTTGAATTCCTGCGTCCGGCAGCTACATTAAATTCAAATATTTTACCAATCCCCCTTTCCCCCCCCCTCCTTGTGTTTCTTATGTGTGGCTTTTTATGTGGTGGTGAATTTAACTATTTTTTAAATATAATGGACCCTATATATATGACAATTATTATATATAAATATTTTTGTTAATGTGTCCTTAGGCCCTGTTTCTTTCAGCAAGGGAATTATTAGTACGTTGGGATTGAGTGGGTACTAGTGTGGTGGTATTATATTGGTGATGTAAGATAAATTGTGTTTGTTTGTATACTTATATAGTAATGTTAGTTGATTGTTATTAAATCTATTAAATTATGTCTTATATACAAGGTAATTTTGTTGTTTTTGTAAATTGATAGGCAAAATAGTCTTTTTATCTCCAATCTCGTGGGATTAGATTTTAATATTCCATTTCCTGTGGGATCGTTATGAAGGTCTTAATCTCATGGCAAATTTTCAGAACGAGATGATTTTTGTGGATGTTAGGAAGTCTCAAAATAGATATGGCTTTATGGTATAGGTTAAGAAGTGTAAAAAAATTGTAAAGAGAGTATATTCTTTTTCTTATTGACCGTTGCAATTTGTAATAATTTTAACAAGGATAAAAAAATGCATATCTCTAATGGGTAGTCTTTAAAGTTGGTGTTTTATTTCATTTTGGTTCTCCGATATTTATTTTTATTCCTAAAATATTTGATTTAGGTAAAAAATAATCTTATTTGTAACGATTGTCTAAATTGCTAACAAAATAATAACAAAATACATATTTAGTCCTTATAATATGTGTTTTATCTCACTTTGGTGCTTCTAGTATGATAAGTTTATGTCACTTTATATTTTTAATTTTAATACATACCATTTAAATAAATATATATATATATATATATCATATACACTTTTAGTTATATTATTTTTTTTCTTTAGTTGTGATTAATTTTTTTTTAGTTATGATATTATTTTAATCATATCTCATTTTATGTTTAGTTATGATATTTAAAAAAAAAAAAATTATGACTCAAAAAATTAAAATTATATCATTTTTATTTTTAGTTATAAGATATATATAGGGCACACTCTTTGAGAGGTATGCACCATAGTATTTCCTTATTTGGTTATTTGTTAACAGTGTTCCTTGTTTTTTAATTTTGTAATCATTTACATTCTTACTGAGGAAGACTACGGTACACACCGGTCTATTTCAAAATAATATTATAATTAAAGAAAATGGTAACATAATTAAAAATACATATGATAAAGGGGTGTATATGATAAAATTTTCCCACTCCTGTTATTCGGTGAGCAAATACTACTTTTTATTTTATTTTATTTTAATTTTTAATCTTTTTTTAACTCCATTTTGCACCTTCTACCAAAATAATTTAGTCCTGTTTTTTGGAACAAACAAATTAGCAACATTTGTTCATAATTGTTGTGGTTTTGGATTGGGCTTGAATGATATCTGTTCTAACCAGAAGTTGAGATCCTAACTACTAGGCTCATTAAAGTCTTAAAACTAGTAGGTTCAAGAAGATAGTAGAACCTCATAGAATTCTCTGTATCCTTCTCCACTTTTTCTATGGTAGATGCTAGAAAGACACTTGTCTCTCTGTCTATGTATCTATATATACCCTGCTCCTTGGCTTCCGTTGCATCATCGAGAAATCATCATTCAAAAGCTTCGATAAATCAATCTCTCAGATACATCACTCTCCGATCTCTCAAGCAAAACTATTAGTAGATTCAGAAAATGGCGATGATTCCAAGCATCTTTGGAGGCCGACGAAGCAACGTCTTCGATCCATTCTCTCTCGACATTTGGGATCCCTTCGAGGGTTTCCCCTTCAATAGCGCTTTCGCTAACGCCCGCAACTCCGCAGCACGAGAAACATCTGCAATTGCAAACACTCGAATCGATTGGAAGGAGACTCCGGAGGCTCACATCTTCAAGGTCGATCTTCCGGGGCTGAAGAAGGAAGAAGTGAAGGTGGAGGTTGAAGAAGGAAGAGTTTTGCAAATCAGCGGAGAGAGGAGCAAAGAGCATGAGGAGAAGAACGACAAATGGCACCGCATCGAGCGTAGCAGCGGCAAGTTCCTACGCAGGTTCAGGTTGCCGGAGAATGTGAAGATGGATGAGGTGAAAGCTACTATGGAGGACGGTGTGCTGACTGTGATTGTGCCCAAGGAAGAAGAGAAGAAGCCTGAGGTTAAGTCCATTGATATCTCTGGTTGAGTTGCGCAACTGGTTTTTGAGTGGTGGTGTTTGGATGTTTGAATTGAAATAAACAAGTGTTTGGTGTTTTGTTGTTATTATGCAATATCTACTTGAGTGAGTGTGTTTGTCTGTGTGTGTAGTGTCAAACTTGTACTTGGTTATGCACCATGCTTTGTTTGATACTACATAAAATGGAAGAATGTTAATTTTAGTTTCAATTGCTCTATTCCATTTCAGTTACATTTATATCAATTGCTTTGATGCATATGATCATTTGCTGATATCATGTTTTACCACAGGTGGTTTGATTATTTTTTGAATACATAAATTATGTATAGGATACTATTCACTATATTGTCATATCAGTTATAGTTGTTTTTATAGAAATAAAATTGTTATGAAATGCGTTTTCAATTTTTCATTGAAAATGTTTAATTGATAATTTGAGTTGTACAAAAAGGATGATAATTATTACCCTTTATTCACTTTTCACTTTTTATTTGGTACTTAGTTTATAAGTTGAACTATACAAACTTATTAGTTATTTGGGATTAAAAATACAAAAAAAAAAGAAGAAGAAAGATATTTTATTCCTTTATTTATTTATTTTATTTGATACAGCTTGGATTAATTTATTATTTTTAATTATAAATTTAAGTAAATTTTAATTTATGTATAATGGAAGTAATTTTTTGTGATCACTGACAAAAACAAAAAATATTTGAATACATAATTTCTGAGTAAAAATTATTCACTGACCAATCCGTTGGTGGTGTGGTGTGGTGTGGTGTGAATGCAGTAGTAACAACTCATTTTTCATGTCGAAAAATCACCACCTTCATCAAGCAAATTTATCAAATTAGGTGTTTTGAGTTTATTTTATTGCTTTTTTTTATTATTTTATAAAACAAATTAAAATATTATTGTATGTCGTTGATTAGATTGATTATCATTGATTTTTTAAAGTTTTTATTAATTTTTAAAAAATAAAATTATTATATATTTTATTCAATATTTATATGTCAATATGGTTCTATACACATGTGATATAGTTTTATATATGAGTATTGTATAGAATATTTGATAATTTATTTGATATCTTTAATGTTGCTCAATTTTTTCCTCATTAAAAGTCTTAAATAGTTATAAAAAAAATACTTATAGCACACTATACTCTCTTTTGAACAAAGGTATTCTTATTAATTACTACCACATTAAACTAAAAGAACATGTAAAACATTATTTTATTTGGGAAAGGTATTAAAACTTAAAATAAAAACATCCTTATTAATTGATACAACATTAAACTAAAAGAACATGTTAGACATATATGGTTTTATTTGGGAAATATTTTAAAACTTAAAATTGAACATCTTTTGATTGAAAAATTTATTTTTCATAAAATTATATATTTGAAATCATCTCAATGTATCAAACAAGATTTATGATAAATGTAAAATAAAATAAAATAAAAAAAACTAATGCAGTTAGTTAAATTTAGCTAAAGTCAGTGAAATTTTATTAAATTTAAGATTGTAGAATTTAATTGACTTGACGAAATTTTATTATTTTTAAAATAGAGTAAAAATAAATAAAATAGAACACATGTCAACCAAAAAGGTTATTCAACTCTGCAGAGCTAATTGAGGTAATACCAAAATCGATACCCAAATATATTTTCATTGGCATAAACGACCATTAATAATCCAAAAGAGACCATCATTGTTGCTACAACACACGTCGGGATCCTCTAGAGTATTTCTCCTTAGAATATTAATAGTGCTAAAACGACATTATTTTGCTTAAGGCAAAAAATACTAAAGAAAAACAACACTTTCATCTTCTTTTTTCCTTTTAAAGAAATTAGAAAATATAAATGAAAGAAATCAATAGTTTAGAGACAAAACAGATGATAATTTAGGGGATAACTAAAATTAATTAAAAATTTTTTTGGGGCGACATTTAACAACTAAAAATTTGAAATTCGAGAGCTTTCGAAAAAGTGAGTGAATAATTGAGGGCAAGAGTTTGGACCTACAATTTAAAAAAAGGGTAAATTACATTGATATCTTCTGAAATTTGGTCTAATTATATCTCACCCCTGATGTTTTGAAAATTATATTCTCACTCCTGTGGTTAATAGTCTCATTTCATAAATCTCTTACTTATATAAAAGATAACAACTTCTAATAGAAAAATAGAAGAAATTATATTAAAAAAAAAAGTAAAGTAAAAGAAAGGGAAAAAAAAAGAGTGCATGAGTTCAATATTTTTATTTTGTCTGAATTATTACAATGATAGAGGGTTAGTTTAACTTTTTAAACATCAAGGATGATATGCATTGAATTCAAATTTTAGGGGTGCAAGTGTAATTTACTCTTAAAAAAATTGAAGATAGCCCATCAAAACTACCCAATGCTATAAATGGGCCTTCTGGCCCAATAGTGCCTCCAACTAAAAAGCCCCATAGACCCAAACCCTTTCTGAGGCCCAAATTTTATTTTATTTTGAGGAAATTACCCATAGGTCCCATGTGGAACATGTGGACACCATTTAATCCCATAACTTTTTGAGTACACCCAAAAGTCCTTTCCCCTCTCTCTCTGCTTTTTGCTTCCCTCTTTACGCCTCCTCCTCTAACCCTAATCTCAGTCCTAAAGCCAAACAAGAAGGCGATGAAGAACAAGAACAAGAAGACGATGAAGAACAAGAACAAGAAGACGCTCATCCTCAGATCTGTGCTTAGATTGAACAGATTTGTGTATATATCTTTGTCAATTTCTCTCTCTTTCTCTCTCTATTTACAGATTTTTTTTGGGATAGTTGTTGATCTATGGTTGTTGTTGTTGATGATGAAATAGATCTATAATATCATTGAAACAGATCTGTAATGACTCAGATTTGTACAGATATCACACAGATTTGTAATGAGAAAATTTTCAAATTCTGAACAAGTAATTTTCGAGTTTTAGTTACAGACGGTGAAAACTGTAAAATTTTGCAGTTTCAAATTTTTTTTTTGGTGCTAGAATGAATCATGGTTTAAAACTGTAAAATTTTGCAGTTTTATAACATTTTTTAGAACTGTAAAAGTTTACAGTTTCATAACATGTTTTAAACATTCCGACGAGTCTCCGGCGACCGTTTGACGGAAGTCCGACGGTAGTAAGATGTGAACAGTGTTTGTAAATTAAAAAAAAAAAAAGGATTTTTTGGTAACAATTAAAAATGTATTGGACTAATTGGTGCAAGTATTTTGTTTTGAAATTAGCTGGGTTTTAAACTTAGTACATGGGACTTATCAGTAAGTTCCCCATATAGTTTAAGGTTTGTGTCATTTTGGTCCTTAACTTTTTATTTGTAATACATTTGACTCTGAATTTTGAATCTTATTCCAAATAAGAACAATTGAAAATACTATTGCTTAATTTCAAGGGCAAAATCGTTAATTTGATAAAAATATAAACTAATTTGACAAACTTGGTAATAAACTTTTTGGGCCTTCCAAGCTGAAACTTTAGGGCCTAAAAGAGGCTTTGAGACAATATTGTGGCCTGTAGTGAACAGTCCAGAATTTGAGACTTTTGGGCCTGGAGTTTAAGAAGTAATTTTCTGATTTTATTTGGAACCTTCAGAAGTAAAATTTGGGCCACAAAGTAGTGTCCAGTTTTGGACCATTTTGAGGCAATTTTTGAGCGACATGGATGTACAAGTGGGGACATTTATTTTATTATTTATTTATTTTTATTGGATCAACATTTTTGGTCATTTGGAGTAAGGGTGAATATGGTCCGGATTGAACGAATTGCGGTAAAATCAGGACCAATCCGTTATTTATGGTTTCTAAAAAATTAGAACGAATCCAATCCGTTTAAATCGTGGAACCAATCCGAACCAATTCATTTAAACACGGATTGGATCAGTTTAGACCTACGGATTTACATAATTAAATGACAAAAAATATATATATATAACACTTTAATTTCATAAAAACATAAATATAGTACTATATTAGTTCCACAATAGTAACATGTCTTTTATAATAGCGATATATTGTTCTAGAATTTAAACAACCATAAGAAAACTAGTT